AACAACTGTCTGAAAAAAATGGTTCTGACTTAAAAATATTTCCATCATGTTTCAAGGGAGTATCATAGTACTTAGGGTCAGAAGGGACCTAACCAGGTCATCAGGTCTGACCCCCTGCCCTGGGCAGGAATGGGTGCCAGGGTCATATCACCCCAGCCAAATATCTATCCAGCCTCCTCTTGAAGACCCCCAAGGTAGGAGAGAGCACAACCTCACTTGGGTGCCCATTCCAGAGCCTGGCAGCCCTAACCGTAAAGTAATGCCTCCTGACGTCCAGCCTGAACCTTCTCTAACAATTTGTCGCCATTATTCCTAGTAACCCTGGGTGGCGCCTGGGGGAACAGAGCCTCCCCCAATTCTCACTGGTCCCCCTGGTAAGTTTTGTAAACGGCCACCAGATCCCTTCTCAGCCTTCTCATGTGGAGGCTGAATAAATTTGGGCCCTTTAGCCTTTCTTCATAGGGCCTGCCCCTTGACCATGCAAATGGCCCTCCCCTGGACCCTCTCAGTGCTAGCCACATCCCTCTTGAAGTGACTGAGAGTACTCACTTTACTGAGATTCAGAGGCTTGTACTGCAGTGTCATCACTTTCTTCAACATCCAGCTCTTTACTGTCATCCATCTTCACCTTCTTATAGTCTGGAACATCAAAACCCTCTTCAGGTTCAAGCTGAGTGGAACTTTTTATTTTGTTCTTTTTCTGATAAGTGGATCTTTTAATTGGGAAGCCAGTCCTCACAAAGAGCCCAGCATCTGTGGCAATGCCATGGTAGAGGAGGGTTCATTTTACCCAGGGCACTTTCAGAAATCAGCTAGTGAAATTTCAGGATCTTCATCCAATGAATTGGCATTACTCTCTGCAGTCTGATACAGTTACTTGATGCACGTCATCATCTTCATCTGTGACTTCCTCTCCTTCATTGTGGCTATAATCTTCTGAATAAATTGACTCTACTTCAAACTTAACACTGAATTGGTCTGAAACAGAACTGTGATCAAATCAATCAGAGTTTTCACTTACTAAATGAGCATCAAGATCAGGAATTGAAGAAGAGTCCATTAGATCGTTGGTGTTGCTGTTTTCTCTGCATAGCCCACTTACTACACACCATGACAGGCTTTCTTCAAAAGTCAGTGAAATGCTGTCTGACTTGTGCAGTTTTCTTCTTTCATTAGGCTATTCATCCAAGGAATTGTCTTCAGTTTCACTGTGGGTTCTTCCAGAAGGGGAGCACAGGCATGCCTGTTATGGCATCTCAAAGCAGTTTGAGATGCTGCAAGAGGCATGTTAAGAACAAAAAAAATGTTCCCCGCGCTTATGCAGTGCAGACTCTAAATTTGACAGCAGGAAATCCCAGTCATGTCCAAAGGTGCATGCTGGCAAGCCAGGCCAGGTTGGGCTGGCTCCATTTGCCATGTACAGACTCCGGGTTAGGTTGTGCCGTGCTGCCCCAGGCCTGTGCCTACAGCAGACCATGGCCCTGACATCCTGGTTGGCTGCTGCTGCCAGCACCAGGGCCTGTGTGCTGCAGGGGGCGGGCAGGCATGTGGCAGCCGTCCTCAAACCCTACATCCCCCCAATACCCATATCCCCACATTCCTCCC